ATGCTTGGTAATCTGAATGAATGTTGTACACTTGCTTGGGACATTTGAAAGAAGCGGTTCGCACGGGAAAATGTGGAGTAGTAACTTCTAATTTTCATCAGATTTATAGCATCTACCCTGGTTCATGTAAAATTAAATAACGACTTTATTCGCGGTTTGCAACTCCAGAAGCGCTCAATCGAAATCTAATATCGAGAACGGGTGTGAAACAGTAGCGTAGGCAACCAAAACGTATGAAAAGATCCATAAGAAGATTATTATTTGTTATATAAAAAAAAAGAAGAAGAGTCAAACATGCAATGGATGTTACCTCTTTATGAAATAAATGTTATGAAAGATCATTTGCATGAGATTTGAAGTACCTATCTTTGAAATATAGTATTTTGTTTAACGAGCGCGGAATGATAGTGATTTCCCACGAGAATGAAGTTTGCAGCATGAGCCATAGGCGAATGCTGCAATCATTCGAGTGGGAAATCAGCATTCCGAGCGACTTTTCTACGGCTGTAACAGCGGCATTTTTGATTTCTTTGTCTTGAAGCCATCTGATTTCCTGCCAAGTAATGCTCATCTATTAGACATACAAAGTACCTCATTGATGTATCGAACACAGTAAAACAAGGGCAATTTTGTGTTATGTCTGTAGAAAAAATATCATTTTTATTTGTATGTACCTATTGTGTGTGCAGCTTATACAGGGTGTTTCTCAAGTACATGTAGAAAATCCAGGAGCATATTGCTGACGTCAAAACAAGAAGGAAAGTTCGTATAAATATATGCCCGAAAGAATTCTTATTTTTGTTTTTTGTTGATAAATTTCAAAATAATTGTGATATCGGAATAAAATTTGGTATCTATGGGTATTTTTCAATGACAATATAAAATTTTATGTTAGTTTGTCTCTTTCGTGGGGGTGGCGCCACTTACCTGTCTGTTGAGTCTTTTTTGTGCGTACCTGTACCATTTCATAGTAAAAAAATAGATTTCTGGAACACTTTTGTGTAAAAAATATATTATTGGTAGAGGCCGCTGCGTGCAACTGTTTTCGAGTTATTGGGATTCGAAATATTCGATGCATTCGAATTATTTCCATGTGGCTCTAGTGAATATCACAAAAGTTACGCCAGTGCATTTTTCTTCTTTCATTCAATATTATTCTTCAATCAGCATTGGAATGTAGGCAAAATATGATTGTTACTTATTTGTACCTGCTTTTTTGAACTCTTCCAATAAGAATTCAACTTTGACACTCTGTATCTCAGAAACGAATAACTTTCGGACATATGTTTATAAGGATTTTTCTTCCTATTTAGACGTCAGCAGCATGCACCTGAATTTTCTACACGTACTCAAGAAACACCCTGTATATAGGACCGCAAGATTTCCTCAATTCAAAACCCGTTCTCAGAATAGATTTACAAATATGAGAATTGAATAATATGGATCAGTGTGGTGAGGTCTCAAATATTCTCATTTTCGAAACCTACTTGTGTTTTCTGAAGTGATCAAAATTTAGAGAATTACTATAACGCAATTGTGTTGATGAAAAAAGTGTGTAGCCTAATAAAACCGATATGAAAGTTTGATGATTGTTACCTTCACAGACTGATGTTTCTATAGGTCAAGAACAACCAAGAATAAACAAAACTAAAGTAGAAAAATAGTTTTGGGTGCATATTTTTTTTCTGTAAATATAAACGAAATTTATTATCTCTATTGGGAAGATTCTTATAAAATCATCACTCCTTTTCTTTTCAAGGACTAGGTATTCATCTGTCATTCTATTGGTAAAATGTATTTGACAGTTCTTTATCAGTCGAAACGATTCAAACGAAAAAAGTTTACTTGAATCAATAATCATATGAGATAAGCTTTGGTCTCATTGATTTTTGGTAGAACTAAAACAATTTTGAAATCATCAATATATTATTGCATTCGAATCTTGTATCAACGAAATTAACCTATTCTTATATGAACCTACAGTGTGTGTGTGCAGCTCCGCAACAACTACTCAATTTGAAACTCGTTTTCAGAATAGATTTTCAAAAATAAAAATTTAATAATATGGATCAGTGTGGTTAGATCTCAAATATTCACATTTTTCAAGCCTACTTTTGAATACTATAGTGATCAAATATCGACAGCTTGATGGAACACTATACTCTAATGAATACCACGCTTCAGGCAGAACAAACTACAAAACAATTTTATACGCTCTTGCCACTGTGGCAATATTTCTCGTATAGTGGTGCTATTGCTAGGCTCCAATAACTTCACTTTATTTGTTGTGTCATCTGGTGTTTAATTCACAAAGCTTCATTATATGGTTCAATATTCGACATAAAAGTGATGTAGGTGAAGGTCTACGATGTTATCCAGGGTTCTATAAAATGAAGCAATTATTTCACTACCTATACCTACTATTCGGAGGGGTGAAAGAACTCACAGTCACAACTCCAACACATGAACAATTTAATAATAACCAAAGGTCATGGACAAAGGGACATGTTTCGAAGGATTAATCCTTCATCATTAGCAAATTGATAAAAAGAAGAAAATCTGTAAGAAGAAAACAACGCTTATGTTAGTTTTTAAGTATTGTTAGAAAGTCTGAATATACCTACCATTATTGGTGGTGAAAGAAAATTACTTGAATAACCTGAAACACTATTTTAAACCACGCATAGTGCGATGAGTAGCTGTTAGGGAACAAACATTATAACCAGCTCTGTAAGAAGAGCCCAAATTTCAAAAATTGTTCGATTTGAAGAAAATATTCAAAAGCACCAACATGTGGGTCTGAATTTATTGAATTAGGTTAACTAATCACAAATTACAATCGACAAAATGACACTTGACAATAATGACGATGAGGGCAAAACACAACATCAGAATTAAACGAGTCACGTCAAAAAACAAAGGAATGTTTTGATTCGAAGTGACATAGAACACAAAACAGAATTATAGTAGAAATAATGAGTTGAATAATTCAAGGCTATCGAATTGAGTTTGTTCATAAGGGCAGTTGAGGTTAGAGTTCTTGACAGCTCTATCGATCTCCAAGGTTTCGAGAAGGATTGAGTTTCTTTCCTTTGTCACAGATATGTGGAATTTCAATGTTAGAATTGAGATCAAGAGAGTGTTAGTCATTGATATCATGGTTAGGAAACACAGAATTGGACTCAAACATTTTTTTTGAAATCATTTCATATGATACGTTTGTGTTCTTGAACTCGCGACCTGTTTGACCAATGTAGCAAACTTTACAATCATCATTTTTGCAATTTAATTATCAAACATCAGATATTTCTAGAATAGAAATCTCATCTTTTGGGTTGACTGAGGCACTCCCTAGAGTGTTGGCGGTTTAAAAAGAGAAAATAAAATAACTGATATTATTGGTATTGAGTTTTTTTCCCAGAATCATCCTGAGTTCGAGGGAAACAGAGCCAAAGAAAGTATTTTTTTCAGTCCTGAAATTCCTGGTGTCTCCATTGTAAACGGCGTAAACATCAAAATATCATATAGAAGCAGCAATAGTTAATTATTAGTAACTTCAATGAGGTGATATAAAAATAAAACACCCTATGAGAAAAAGCAATCCTCATGAAATGTTTCTCAAATGAGACTGCCTATGGAAGAGCATGCGTGGTATTCATTCATATATAAGTTTTCCTCAAATGTATCATTATTTATTCCGAATTGGTTAGATTATACCGCATCGATGGGAATTTCTTCCTGGTTACGCCACTACATAGTCTAAATCTTGTTTTTACGAGGACTCATAAATTTAGCACTGCAAACTTTACCAATTTCGTGAAATTGATGCGTCCGAAACGCTTCATTGAACCTATTATTAATTCGTATTTTCTCGGTTAAAAATTGATTATCGATTCCCGAATTCCTTTGTTCGTTGCTCTGGAATGAGTAAAATAATAAAAAACGCCAACTCAAACTTTCAGTGTTGAGGAACAAAATAATCCTCCAGTTACTTACTACTAACGATAATTGTTCACTGGAACTACACTTGAAATTTCGAAAGTTTGGTGTTTCCGCTAGCACGTCCATTCGGGACTGTCATCTATACAGCCTTGCAGAAGATCCTAAGTTTCTTGAAGGAATTCCATACGGAGTGGTCATGACTAAAACGCTTCGAAAAACTTCAAATGAACATAGCATGTCAATATACATTCTTGAGATTCAAAGTATCGAAGTCGAAGTTTCATCAGATTCGACTTGCAGATCAAATGATTCAAACCAAGCTGAGATTTAGCTTCGCTGTAGGAACAGATAACAGAAATTTACTCCTGCATCCAAAATATAATCGACTAATTATGAAGTACCTGCTTTACGTTTCAGAGAAATATCAATTTTCTTGTCAGGATGATATAGTCGGAAGAACAATAGAGTAGAGTGAAGCTTGGTCATGCCTCGTACAGCTGCACCATCATATATAATAAGATACATCTCCAGGAACTGTTTTTTTCCATACCCCATTTGAAGCTGAGACAAGGTGATATTGTCACATGACCGCTGTTTGTATTTGAAAAATCGTCTATTACGTCAGTGCATGGGCTTCAAACATTGAATCTTACTCACGTGTTTTCAGATTTTTTTCAGAAGTCGCCTATTTTTGAAATAACGAATTAATTCCATACATTTGCATCGTACGGTTGATATTAATTTGTTCAAAAATATATACCTACTGTGAACTGTATTGTGTATGTCGATTGTATAGAATAAGCATGATAGTTTGCTGCTCCGTCGAGATAAAACAGACTGTTGACTATTATTTTGCAAACATTACATTAATTCGTCAACAAAAAGGTTGTCAACAAACGAGAGAGCAGATTGCAAATTACGTGAACATTATGGATCTAAAAATCAGCATATCTGGTTGATACAGTCTCATAAATAGCTGATAACAGATAGTATTCGGATGGAATGTAAACTCGATATTGTTTCCAGTTCAAAATTGCTGAAGCCAGTGATGACAGAGCATGGATAGTGGCAACGTAGATTTGCAGTTTTCAAGCGAAAGGTGAGTTTTCAATTTATTTTTTCTATAACATAACTGAAAGGTCATTTATACATATATTTACTACGCTAAATGATCGATCAATCACGGATACATGATGTGTGATTTATTGAGAAAATTAAACACGTTACCATGGCAACACAATTTCTTACTCATAACTATGGCAACAAAGTTTTAAACACACTTTTAGACGTTTGAGCCTTGTCCTGTCCAGCCTGTCAATTTCAGGAGCCGTCAACTGTCATTTTGGAATTTTGTTGTAATCAGAATTATTCCATCAATATCTGTTTGTATCAGAATTCCCCATTGCAAATGTATGCGAAATGCACAAAATAGACGAAAGTGAAATCGAAGAGAATATTTTAGGTTATTACATATTTCCAAGAACTTTGTGTGAAATCGAAGCTCTCATCTTTGTGGACAATTCATTCTTTGGTATGCTTAATGACAATAAACTTAGAACAACATATTTAGGTGAGCAAAATCATGTTTTTTTTTAAATTGACTCGGCCGTTACTTGATGAAAATCCATTGCAAATGTATAACTTCACAAACGATAAGATTTCCACAAAATTTTGTGGAAATCTTATCGTTTGTGAAGTTATGAGTTATCCAGAAACAAGTACAGCCTTCTTCATTTCTAATACATTGTAGTCACTGCAAATGTATGAAACATGACATTCATGACATGATCATAGAAAGAAGACCACAAATTTGATAAACTGAATAAGATGAAATCGTTCGTTCTGATATGACGATTGATCGATTTGTTTCGATATTTCTGCAAAATAAACAAGTTTTCGTGGAAACAAGGTATCGATCGAATTTGAAGGATTCGTGGTATTTCCTTCGAAAGTAGTTCAGATAATAAAGATAACATCAAAAGATATCTATCAGACTTCTCTAATTTCGTTGACATCGTCATCTTAGACACAACTTGGTTCAGAATTTCAATTTCTATCAACTCTAGGGCAGCCGATCATATTAGTAAAAAAAATCGATCGTTGAAAAAACTCGAGAACGACAGATTGAAGCAAGGTAACTTAATTACATGCAGAAAAGTAGGCATTACAATAATTTGACGATTTAAGTCTGACATGAGCAGGAGCGGCTGTATGTTTTCAAGTAAAAAATAACATTATCTGTTGGTAGAGTTGTTTTTTGGCTGAATGATGTGAAATTATCATACAGTTGTCAATTTTGACATGTGTCATGAGCACTGTTCAACAAATTTCCTGGGTAGTGTACAGGGTGAACAACTAGGAACGGCTGGCGGCCATATCTCAGCAACGAATGATGATAGAATAAATCTAATGGTATACATATCATTACACGATGTTATAGAAAAAGTAAATCTCAAGAGACCAACGAAAACCGCAACATGATAGCTTTTCACCACCGGAAGATATTAACTATTACAGTTTGAAGAATGATAGATATGACAGCGGTTCTTAGTTGTTCACCTGGTACATCTTTCACAATGGTACAATGTAATTTTTTTAATTTTCTGATGGAAAAAGCTCTACAACGTTTTCTGTTTGTTTCACCTTTTTTGTTAACAGTTGTAATTTATTTTTGTTAGTCTATGTGACTTCGGGCCGTTGGTCGGAGCAGCTTTTGTATTAAAAGTGTTTCAAGATTTAACAATTTTGCTATGACAGCTAGTCGAGTATCATAAAGACTCATGTTTTCACCTGAATATTTTTTTAAATGGGAAAAAAGCATTTAGGAGCATAAGTTGTATAAAATGGATGCCTAATTTCTTATACCATCTCAGTGATTTTCTGCCAAAGGGATAATACGCATTCATTTGGTCCTGGTGGTCAACTCCACCCATCTGCTTATTGCCATGAAAAATCGGCTTTGGTTTTTCTTAGGTGCGATGTCTTTTATCAACAAACGCGACCATTTTATGGCTCCGACGGAATCCCACCGATTATTCTCAAGAAATGTGCTCCTGAAGTAACACCTGTTCTCTGCAAGTTGGTCAACTACTCTTACAAATTGGGAATATTTCCGATTGCAAGAGTACAACCAGTTCCTAAAGAAGGCAAAACGACCCTACCTAGCAACTACAGACCGATCGCACTACTATCTATTATTTCAAAGATCAAGGAGAAAGCTATCAACATCGAGCTCATGAAATACCTGGAACATTCAGGTATTATCAACGATAGACAATATGGCTTCCGTCACCAGAAATCAACTGGTGACCTGCTCGCTCACGTCTCACATATATATGGCAGCAATCTATTGAAAAATATGGTCAAACCTTAGCCGTGGCACTTGATATCTCCAAGGCATTCTCGATCGAGTCTGGCATCACGGACTCCTCGCCAAGCTTCCATGCAAACCGGCAGATCAATATTTTTTCGGTTATCAGTAACACCTGGGTCGAATACACAGTTGATAATAATATCTGAAGCGCTCGAGTATGTCTTTGTGACTGTTTTATTTACTTTTCTGAAAACCTGGACACACTCTCCCCACCAGTGAAAGGGCATACCTCATATAATTTTTTTTCCTTTTACCATCTCCATGAACTGATAGGTCCTGACGACGCTCGAGTAAATCCCCATTCAGCCTCTTTGCTTGTATGCTAAACCTTTTGACATACAAAAAATACTGTTTCCATAATCAAGGCTTCAAGAACTCCTCATTGGAAATAAACATTGTAATCTTTGTTGTCATTACAATATTCCAACTACACTCTGATAAGAACATTTCAAAATCAGTATCTCCATGAATTTCTCCTTCTAGTACTTATTACCTGAGGAACCAACGTCATGCAAGCAATTCTGATGTCCCTACCTCTCAGCATAAAAAATTCACAGATCATAACAACTAATTTGATAACAAATTAAAAGGTCATTCTGGACCTGGAAGTCGGTTCATAACATTTGATCAGATATTTTCCATTCTATTTCTTAATCGTGCATATGCTGTGTTGTAACAAGAGCCTAGGACAGATTCCTCTTTTGGTAATAAGAAAAAACAGTTCGAAATCAGGTAATGGTAGGTTTTGCAGATACAGAGAGTTGAAATAAAAGAATATTGGATCCAAAATCACTTTGCAAATATGGATGAAATTTTCATAGTTTTTTTTTTCAGAACTATATTATTGAGGTATCTGCTGGATATCTTATAGAGTTCACTCAATTATTCGAGAAGCGTTTCCACAAAACTGTTATACCCTAAATCCCAAAAACCAATCATGTTCGGACAGAATGCTAATGGAAACTATTGTTATAGAAAAAAACGCTCCATCTGGCTCTTCACACTTAATTTAGGAACACCTAATGCATCTCCAATGTATCCGTCGAATAATACGTCATCGAAAACCTGTATTACCCAACAATATTAATAAAGTTGAGATGTTGATAAGATAGTGGAATAATCGACCTTGCTTCTCCAAAATAATTCTGTCTCATGATGAAATAGTGATAAAATGAATAATCGATGGGCTATACATCTATATCAATATCGAATATACTCGACAGTGCGTAATCCCATTATTCAATGTACCTTGAAGATATTCACCAAAATTTACCATATATTCCTCAAACCAAAACAATTAGATCAGAGCCAATTTACATGACTATAAAGTTTCTTAGTTTGGGCATTATATGAAAGCCTCTTCCGAAGGTACAATTTTCAAATCCTGTATGCTTCATAACTTTACGACTAATGAGGTTTCACTCAAATCTGGTAGATTGGCATAATTATGTTTATGCACGACCGGGCGCAAAGTAGCACTTTACCGCCCGGGTTTGCGGGCGTAAAGTGGCACTTTACCGCCCGCGGACTACTTTACCGCCTGGCGGGCGATGAAGTCATTGATCTGGTGGTAGAGCTAATGTCACTGTCATATCGATAGAAATCTAGATTCCAATGATTTCAATCAATGCAAAATGATTGGGAAAATAGATCTGAATTATACAGGAGTGCTCATTTGAATATTAAAGTTTTCTTTATATTTCTGTAAGAAGCACACTTTCAGTGTAGTTTTTATTTTTTACATCATTTCTGTCGCACCAGCTTACGAATTCTTCGTATACTTTGTCGTATATTTTTTTTTGATTTACTTGGCAATAAACACGATTTTGCTTCCTCAGCTGCCTCACTAATTTCTGGTGGAGTACAATTCACACTTTCTTCATCACTAGAATTCATTTTGAAATCACTAATGAATTATGTATGATTACACAAATTGACAGTTAATATGGCTACTGGCCTATTGATTCCTATTTCGAAAAATTGACTGAGTTGACATGGTAACGTTGATTCCATACTTCTTGATTTATTGTTTTTGCGATATGGATACAATACAGTCTCACTGCAACCGTGATGTATTTTTATTGTGCTTGAGGGGTGAAGAGATACCTACATGAGATATCAAATATACACAGGTCGTGCATAAAATGTTGTATGTATTTCGGGCGTAACTAGCTTTTTACGTCCTTGATACATAAATAACTATTATTGGGCAATAGGCGTAGGACTTGACTTTTTCAATAAATAAACATCTAAAACTTCTACGCCAAATTTTTTTTTATTGCTTGGAGCGCACGAAAAGGAATCCCTATAATGTGCAAACAACATCGTGCATCCCTAGGGAGGATAGGGATAGGATAGGTAGGTATTGGAATTTTTTTTTAACTTCTGGAGATTATATGTTGTTGGGTATACTTCCTCAGGCAATGAATTCCAGAGCCTAGCCGTTCTATGGATGAAGGAGTTTTAATAAAGTGCTGTTCGACATCTTTTGAGGTTGACAACGAAAGGATGTTCTGACTGGGCTTGTCTAGTTCGTCTGACTGGTATGGCTAGTGGAGGGATGATACCAGAGATTCCCGAAGAACATTTCCCGTGGAAGTATTGGTAGAAAAGTGAAAGGTCGCCGACTTTTCTTCAGTGTTCCAATGATGTCAGAGAGATGAGTGAGTGTGGCGTCACCCACCAGGCGGATGGCTCTTCTCTGGATGGAATTTAAGAGCATCAGCGTATGTTTTGGTGCTGAACCCCATATGTGGGAACAGTATTCTAGAACAGGTCGTATCTGCGCTTTGTAGATCATGAGAAGCTGTTGAGGTGTAAAGTGGCTTTTCGCACGGAACAAGAATCCGAGTTTTTGTGAAGCAGCTTTTGCGATGGAAAGAAAGGGGTTTGAATATATAATTTGGATTGCGTAACTCGTTTACTGCAAAAAGATACTCTCAAAAAATGTGATTACTCATAGTTTCGAGAAAATTTGAATTTTAGTAGATCAGAGCATCAGTCAACATTAAACCGATCAACAGATATTTCAAAATTGATCAAAATCTTCATCATTTTCAGGAGAAAAAACGGTACCCTTCAGACCAACTAGTCAAAATATGAAAATCCACTCTGAGTTAAACTGCACTTATCATTCGATGTTTTTTTTTTGGAAATTGTTTTTGATACTCACGTATTTTTGTCTGAAAAACACGAATTTGATACCAAACCATTATTCAATAAGATATTTCAATATGAAGTTACAAATTTCACCTTTTCCGCATATTTTTTGGCTCACATTTAGAACAATTCGCCCTTCTTTTTTCATCAATGGACAATTTATATATCACAATGTACTCCAATGACACAATTTTTTCTATTATATGAGTAAACTAGAAATATGATTTTCTTGCGTTTTATCCATATTCAGTGAAAAAAAGGAAGAATATTTAAAATAATGGCGTGTGTAATGTCATTCAAAAGCAATCTGTTGACATTTGACATCTCGTAATTGGATTGACTATGATTGTTCACTAAATATGCTAAATATGGAAAACTCGCCAATAAAATCATATTTCGTGTTGAAATTTTTATACATATAAAAATGTGTCATTGAAGTACATAATGAGTATATGAAGTGTCCAATGACAAAATGAGAAGAGTAAGTCCTTAGCTGTAAATGCATCCAACACGGGAGGGGAAATTTCGAACTTTTTCATGAAATATCTCGATAAATATTGCTTTGTTCACATTTTCATTATCAAATTCGTGTTTTTCAGACAAAATACGTAAGCACCAAAAAACATTTCGAAAAAAAAAAACAATCGTATGATAAGTGCAGTTTTACCCCACTCTGCAGTATGACTTGTGAGTTTGAAACTCCGGAAGTTTGATCCGATAATGTTACACCAAGAAAGTAACAATATTCAGTCACAAGTGTGTTCATTTAATTTACAGCTACAGATATTGAATTTCTTATTGTATGCACAAGGTGGACATATCTTCTCATATTCATCATCCTTCAAATAATCCACCAGTTTTTTGGTACAATACAACAGGAATACAATCAAGGCACAAGAACTACTCACAATCACCATCGAATAATAGGAACATTTGATCCTAGCTTCGTCCTCTTGGTGAAACCCAATCCAAGATAACAGGCGCTGATTGAAAGAAGGTTTCCTCGCTGTTTGTACGACTGCTTCTTTTGTCAAATATTTGCTCGACACACATTCATATACATCTAAAGCGTTCACCCAGAGGTTGCATAGACCGTTATTGATTGGGATGATCAGATTGTTGATGATATCCATGATGAACTCGCTTTCTTCTTCAAATTGCGATTTGCCAAATAATGATTCAGCTCGTCCTGTACATTTTTCGCATATCATGGGGTATATATAGGCACTGCATAACTGAATGTATAAAAGGAGTATAATTATAAAATTTGAGTAAATCGACATATCAGCATGACATTAGTGAATCCATGCTGGCATGTCATAACCTACAGGGCCATTCCCGACTAGCAATTCATGAATGAAATTCTCTATGGATACCTCATACAGGGTCTCTATAAATGATCGTAACATCGTAGTGGCTGTTGAAATTTTTTTCCATTTGCCGGTTTCTACTAATGCTGTTAACAACATTTAACGACCAAAAAGAGAGGAAGTGATCATATACGGGATCTTTTTTTATATCGTTTTGCATACACTATGGAAATGTTCCTCAAAGAAAGGAGATTCCAATATTGGAGTTTGAACAATAATGAAACAAATCAAAAATATTTATTGAAGAAGTAATAAATAACGGTGTATTTCATTAACCTACATCAAATGTTCAAATCGTTCTCCGTTGTTCGATAAGCATTTGAAAACTCTTCGCCGTTTGTTGTCAAAAATGTTCCTCTGCATTTCCGGGCCAATATTTTGGCAGCAATGTGTTATTGAGGCTTGCAGCTCTTCAAGGTTATTATTGTCTCTCTTGAATACTTCGTCTTTCAAATATCCAAAAAGGCAGAAATCCAAAGGCGTCAAATCTGGAGAATGTGTTGGAAAAGAAGGATTAACTCCTCGAGTTATCACACGGTTGTCATAAAATTCTTGTAAATATTCTAAATTTGCACGTGTGGTGTGGGCAGTGGCCCCATCTTGATGAAAATAGCCAACTCGAATTTCTTCATCATCAAGTTGATTGATGAATGGCTCTAACATCACTTGTCTGTACCTGTAACCATTGATAGTGCCATCGAAGAAAACCGGTCCATATATTCGCCCACGAGAAACTGCTAACCACACCCCAATTTTTTGAGAATGTAGTGGAGTCTCAATGAAATTGTGGGGATACTCAGATCTCCAGAACCTAAAATTTTGTGAGTTCACGTATTCCGACAAATGAAACCAAGCCTCATCGCTGAAAAATATTAGGTTCAATAGCTGGTCATCGTTGAGATTATTTTGGGACCATTGGCAGTACCTACTCCAGACGACGTGGGATATCTATTGGCAGAAGTTGCTGTAGTACACTGGTCTTGTAAGGGTGCATATGCAATCTTTTCTTGAGCACTTTATGGCATGTACTTAGTGGCACACCAGATTATAAAGATAATCTCTCCAATGACGTTTGGGGATTTTGCTCAAAACGCGCCCTTAGATTTTCGACAACTTCTTCCGATATTTGGGGCCTTCCTTTTGATTTCTTTTGATTAACGTTTCCAGTTTGGATGAATCTGTTGATTATTGTTCTGATGTGGGCTTTCAAAGAAGATTATTGAATCTGTACATTAGGATATTTCGCCAGGTACTCATCCTTACAGGCTACTACCGAGTGACTTCATCCAACATTGACGAATGTGCCATTTCGACAATAAGACATTACAATAAATGTATTCTGCTCCGAGGAATAAGCCATCCCTCTTTTCAACACGACAATCACGAAGTAGAGAACAGAATCGTTTGAAAATTTTAACGAAAATCTGACAATTGTGAGTTTATCAGCTATGACAGTATAATGATTGATGTCAGAAATTAAATTCGAATGTGTGAATCTCCATAAATCAAAGGCGGCAAATGGAGAAAATATTTCAACGGCTACTACGATACTACGATCATTTATAGAAACCCTGTAGATGTATAGAAAGTCATATGGTGTTATCACTTCCTATTTAAAGGAGTTTCGGAATCTCTCGATATTGTCTACTTTGTGAAAATGGCGAGGCGTGGGAGAATCTTGCTAAATTTCCAAAGTTTCAAACCAAATTTGCAGGCTTCATGACACATTCATTTGACTTCACATTTTCATTATCACAATTTCTTGTGTGAATGAAAACGGTGCGTTATATACACGAAGACCTAACTCATTAAAATCCTGTGATAATAGTTTATTTACTCACTTTTGGTACATAAAATAAATCAAATGTTCGGATTTTCAAATAATCCTCATACGTTACAGCAGTCAGTCCATGAAGAAAAGACAATACACTCACTCAACTGATAATACAGGGTGTCTGTGAAAGGTCTTTACAAAAACATACCACATATTCCCTAGACCAAAATAGGTCGATTCAAGTAAAATTACCTCAGTACAAAGTTGCATCGTTTGGGCTCCAGAGAGTCTTGAAGTTACAATTTTCAAATCGTTTTTCCCATATAAATTCAAAACGGCATATGCGATTTTGCTGAAATTTAGTATATTGATAGAGTTTCATGTGGCAAAAAAATGGTGTTAACATTTTGTCCGATTATAATACATAGGCGTAGAACTTGATTTTTCAAATAATTGCACCTTTAAAAATTCTACGCCAATGGAAGAAAAGGAGTTTGAGTATGAAATTCAGATTGCGCAACTCATTTACTTTGAAAAATGTACTCCTGATAAGACTCGATTGCTCTCATGGTTTTGACGAAATTTGCATTTTAGTAATTTTAGAACATAAACAATAATTATTAAAATACAAACTTTGTCGAAACCATGAGAGTAAATCGAGTGTTATCAAGGGTACTTTTTTGTAGTGAATGAGTACCCAATCCAAGACAGTTTTCCGTTCTTGGTACATAAATAACTATTGTTGTCGTCGATGACAAATTTGATTCATCCTACACTCTTCAAGTGGAATTTTCTGGAAGAAATAGAGCCCTGCCAAGAATTTCACCATTATCGTATCAATCCAAATGGATCATGCTATCTTCTTATTTTGAACTGAGGTTTTTCTGTTGCAGACTGTCTCACGAATCTAGAGAAACAATGAGCTGCATGACGAATCAATATCAGGTTCCAGCAGATTACAATCCAGATGAACATCCACCAGTTAGAATGAGGAATCATACCAAGTAAGATATTCTATGAGCTTCCATCTGTAACAGAATTTATAACACATTTTGGAGTGCCAGTAAGCATACATCAGAGGAAGTCGACGTCTGTGTCATATGGGCTTCAATATACCATTATTCATTATCATCTGATGGCTTGTTTATATACGTTTAATGATAATGGTTATAAAAAGATGCATCATACTCTCCCTATAATAGTATATAGGTATGATGATAAAACTTATCTAAATGGTTCAATCGAGACATTCAAGTAAACAACTGTTTTAGTTCGTTATTCTGGATCTTTTGGTACAGAAATATCTTGTGTTCATCTCGATGTGTTGAAAGAACCAACAATTTCTTTGTTCTCCTGAAATTGTATAATCTTATAGATGCACACAGCCTGAGTGCTACGATCCTCTTGATTGATACCAGTATAATTGGTATATCTACTGCCTCTGAATGACTCTGGTGTAATGGGGTCTCGTATCTTGAAATCATTCATTCATTTCATCACGTACCATTTATAATCTGCACTTCAACTAATTGTTTGATACATAGTCAATGATTTCGATTATTTCATTCACATAACTGAACCCCTTTCGTCTTCCATTTTTCTCATGTTGGGAGCAGTCATTGGTGCTCATAATATCAACCATCAATTCTACTAGTCATTTTTATTGCAGTGCTGACAGAAGTGAAACCCAGAGAAAACGGAGATCGAAGAACAGGTTATCAAATAGAAGGAGTACTGGATTCGTGAATCCAGAAATGGTTGATGAGGCTATGAAAATGGGAGCTTGTGGTACCGGTGACAGTGAACCTAAGTAACGAATTGACGAATTCTTAGTGTATTGTGTATAGATTTCCGAGATAATTCATCATTATTCTGTGCCATCAATCATAAACTAAATTAGAATGGAAGCAAATGTATAAGTTGAAACTGAAATTGTTAGGTTTAAAAGTGTTGAATGATATTATTACTTATACATACGGAAGCAATAACTACCCTTCATCAACCACCGATATTCAATGGAGAATGAAAAATAATGGGAAATTTAATTAGCAAAGGGGAACAAAATAGTTCTTCCTATAGGGATTTTCTGCCACAGAAACTATACTTTACTAATATTTATACGACATGAAATCTTCACAAAATTGTGAATATCTGATAATATTGTTAATAACCTAGAGGAACTATAACATTATTAGTAGTAACCTTTCAAGGGATTTCCACACTTGAGTGGTACACGAAATTGCATTCAACATGTCTCAATCGAACACAAAAAAATCATTGTCTTCTGATGGGTTGCTTGCAAGATCTGTCAGATGACCGACCTGGAGATAAACCATTGAAACACAAACTCACTTTTCTTATTTGTTAACGAAGGATTTAAATAGTTTTTCACTATTATTTCGGCATACGAATAGTGTTTTTCGGGTATTCATTAATTCAAGCATGCCATCACATTGTGCTGTTGTACAATGCACAAAAAATGCAGCAAGAGACGAAGGAATCCTTTTTTTATATTACTCAGGTAGGTACATTGTGATATAAATAGTCACTCACATAGTTTTCATTTTGAAATGTTGTCATTTCTCATTGGAATTCCTTCAGCAATAGGAGCTAATAGAAATACTAGTAAAGTTTATAGAAGAAGGCAAATGCAATCAAACGGAAGGACTGATGGAATATGATCGTGTGCGTGTTGTAGACATTCTCACTCTATTAGCAGTATTAGCTTCTATTGCAGAAGTAGCAGAAGGAATTCTAATGAGAAATGACAAAATTTCATAACGAACACTATGTGAGAACATTATTCACCTGATTAATACACTCTTATTCCAAGATCCAATAATATTTCTTCAATTTCCTAAAACCGACCAATCACCAGGCATTTGTAGTGATGAAAAAGCTACCTAGCTCTCCCAATAAGATGCTTTGCTTTTATTCTCACAATCAACAAACTTCTATACTTTGACAACAACTGCCACCGTCAATACCGTCAGATAATTTCCCAGTTTTCTGAACATAACGTCGTTTGTTTTTCAAACCAAATTGTCTTTATACTATACCTTTTCAACTTCAATTTCGGAATCGGTGAGTTATATTTCGGAAAAAGTAATCTCGATTTCAGAATTGGTTAGTTCGATTTCAGAAATGGTAAACTCAATTTCAGAATCGGTGAGATGAATTTCAGAAAAAGTCCATTCAATTTCAGAAATGGTAAGTTGTATTTCAGAATTATTATTGGTAGGTTCAATTTCAGAAGATGAAATCCTTTTATATGTTTGAAATGTTTTCAATTGCAAAAGAGAAGATTGTTTACAGTGGATGGAACGGTGTTTGAGAGCCCTATGTTGAATCAGATTGAACATAATATATGGGGTGCCTTCAAGTCAGAAGTGAAGAGCTTCTTGCAAGAGCATCGCCAATGGGTCATAGCTGGGGATCCGAACAGATTGCTCAACCAGATAGAATTCAGACTGCGATGTCTTGAAGAATGTGCAGATCATTCAATGAAAATCATAACACCTCAAATGTGTTTGCATTCTTATAATCTTGTGCAACGCCACTATCTTCCAGCGATTCAGATGGAAGCCATCTGTGGATTAAATTGTTTTTGAAAAGTTGAATATTTTAAATATGGTTTGTTGATCTCACATGCAATTGGAAACATTTCGAACAAATATAAGGATTTTTTTATGATATTGAACCTACCAATTCTGAAATACAACTTACCATTTCTGAAATTGAATGGACTTTTTCTGAAATTCATCTCACCGATTCTGAAATTGAGTTTACCATTTCTGAAATCGAACTAACCAATTCTGAAATCGAGATTACTTTTTCCGAAATATAACTCACCGATTCCGAAATTGAAGTTGAAAAGGTATAGTTGTGTATTAATATCCCTACAATACATTCGAACAATGTTTTTATTATTTCAAATTGTATTAAAATTTTATTGTTATTTGGCAAAAAATCTCGAATTATTCTCGATTGTTTTCCATGACAATAAAACTCAAACAATCAAACATGTATTTTTCGTTCAAAATATTATTTCTTATGTATTCACCCCCGAAAAATCATGTTCTTTCGTCTCTCGCTGCATTTTTTGTGCATTTGTACAACAGCACGATGTGAGTGCATGCTTGAATTAATGAATAGCCCAAAAAACACGATTCGTATGTCATAATATTGTGACAAACTATTCCAATTCTTCTATTGGTTTGTAAACAAATAGAAAGAATGAGGTTGTGTTTCAATAATTTACAGAAAAGTGAGGATGTGTTTCAATGTTTTGCCTCTAGGGTCGGTCATCGTGCAAACGACCTATTTACCTCTCGATACATTAACGTTAATAGATAGTTAGTAGTTATGTCTTCAAACTAGTAGCACACTAGTAAGTAGAAACAAATATTTAGTTATTAGTATTTATTTGTAATGTTGTAATAGACTCTGATATGACTCTAAATTATTCGATCATTGTGTTTAATTTACTTCAAAATAATGTTGCAATGACTATTTTCATTATCAATATGTTGTGGATGTATTCATACTATTCACGTTTTCTATTCTTGTTGATAGTTAGATTTCCAAAACAATTATTGTATACTCACTTGATATTTTCAATCATACAATCCCTCATCAGTCCTGTGTTTGACCTTCGTGATGCAATAATTGAAGATTGATTGATTAGTTGTCACTATTGATCATGTTTTTAATGAATTGTGCCTACTGGATCTGACCATGAAAAACGGGTATTTAATTACGATAGTATAGGTATAAGAAATCAATATCGATCAAAGACCTAAAACCCACAATATATTTCCCACAATCACTGATATGTCGATTGCATGCGATTGAATAATCTAGTCTAATTATATTTTTGTTGTATCGTTGTGAAGTCAATAAAGCCATTTTATATTGAAAAAGTGCGAATTTATAGATATCAATAGGCCCTCTCCAGATTGATTTTGATGTGTATTTCGAAATAAAGTTGGTTGCAGCCCAGGATTCTTACCCTTTCATGAATTTTCCAAAAATTTCGGTAGGCATCGACGTGGAAATTGTATTTGTGCAAAACTTGGTAGCACTTCGAATGTAACTTCTTCTTAACTAACTTCTGTAAAAGCTCATGTTGAGCTTCATTAAAAATGAGATATTATCTCTTGAAAAAATACAATGACTGGATTCAAGGTAAGGTATATTTGTAGAAGCTAGTATGGTTAATTCCTCAATGTTTTCATAGAAATAGCACATTGTGCTAGTATACTCAATTAATGTTCCGATATAGAATTTGATAACAAATTTTGGAGTTATCAATGCGATATCTAAGCTGACTATAAATGTTTCGATTTTTCAAATTCAAAATAGATGATATCTTTCAGCATGCAATTTGTTTCATCTTCTTTGTCATTTTTAGTGAAACTGAAACTGTTCATAATTATTATGAAATAAACATAATATATTTTCTGAAGGAGTCACATGACATAAGAATGTCGAAATTTTTAGATATTTTCTTGGGTCTTAGGAAGGTGCTCGAGCCCAAGAAGTCCAAAAGCTACTCCTTTGAGTGCAGCATCATTTTTTGAGTTGCTCCAGTATAGTGTATCTCTTCTGATAGATACATTGATCAATGATCATATTTGGAATCATTGAGTTTCAATGAAAATCGAATAGTGTAACTAGTTTCAACCACAGATCATCAGCAGGACAAAAACAAAGGTATATATACAGCGTGTCCGGAAAGGTCTTATCGTGAATAATAGGGCTGACACGGAGATATTGACCTTGAAAGTTGAAAAATAAAAAAATGAATTACAGGATTCCAAACGATTGTCATGGTATGAATGATATTCGGACTAGCAAATGAGCTTATACTAGACTTTCTATACATATTCAAGTACAAATTACGATACCTATATTTTCCTGAATATTGTGTGAGAGATAATTATTTATAATATTTTATTTCCATGAATAGGTATCTATCGTAAAGTTCGAATGAACATAATTGGCCATTACGTGGATACCTGCAAAATTAAGCTCAAATAGATATATATCTATATATACATAATATTATTCGGTATTTTGCCTAATTGCACTGTACTACAATTCATCAAGGGCTATTCGACCATGAAATGGCGCTCCTCGTTTTCACTAGTCCTCCACAAATAGGTTCGTTCTCAATCCTTTGTGCAGACGAAATAAATACTAAAAATCCTCCAAATTGAATTTAAATAGTCAAGGATTTCGTAACTGGGTTCAACTGTTCACCTACATGAGTTGGTAAACTGAAGTTGATGTGCGAGTGATTTATGCTAAGTAGTTCTGAGTGTTGTGGTAATGAAGGAACTGAATGCTTCTAACCTTTTCAATGTGGAGAGGTGAGTACTATTTCACTGGGTGTTTCAGGTATGGAATCATTGGTAACAGATAATATGACAATGTTTCTATGAAGAAAAAGTTATTAGTTTTTCATACATTCATGAGAAAAATTCAATTAAGGATAATTCTTCTTCTGGATCGAATACTCGTAGTGCGAACACCACATGAGGTTTTCACTGGTCCATCGGATATTATCTTCCGACACGGGTGAAATATTCTTGGAAATAGTGACGCCCTGCCACTAATTCAGATGGATATTTGCAAAGTGGACATCATCCTTTTTTATTTACCTTCAGTTTCAACTCGTTATCTTATCACGGAAGTATGTCTGGAATAATGCCAGCAGATGAATCGCTGTGCCATGAATTTGGCTCAGATTGAGAGGTGGCACAGGACCGTTTTTGAGATCTACCATCGTATTGATATAGGATGGCATAAT